CCGTGGTCTGTGTGTACTGTTATCCAAGTGACAGCCGGTCTATGTGTAAGATTCAAATGTATACCTTGGTCTGTGGCGATGACCGCGGCGTCGCATATATGCGACGCTCAGTAGCGAACGTGTTAAGTAATTATTGCAGACATGTACAGTAAAAAACACTGACCCTACTCTGAGATGAGGAAGTACACTAAACATGACTGAGTTAAGCAATTTCATGAATTCTTATCTGAGGATTTCAGATCCTAAAATTTTAGGATCTGGAATCCTAGACAACATTAATGTCAATCACCATTACAAAAAACTAATGTCAAAAGATCTATTATTAAGTGACACTTTTTGTGTGGATATTTTATGCTGAGGGTGAGTCCAAATTTAGAATGAAGTGAGATGACTTGTGTAGCTTAATAGTATGGGAAATCCCCTAATTACTATGTAAAGTGATTAAGGTATACAGCCAAAGATATTCACCCCTTTGGCATATTTTCTTGTCATTCATTATTTTGTGATTCGGTAGCTCAGTTAGTAGCGCAACAGACTTCGAAGTCATGGCAGTGATGTTGTGGGTTCAGATACTGGTGCCTGTCACTAGATTTTATTAGTTCACCCTTGTTGTACCGGCTCGCTCCTTGCTTTGCTGGATAGGCCTTTCCACGCACAGGCCTGAGGCCTATGTGGACAGGAAAATGTAATGTTAAAAGAGGCTGACAACCTTTTTTTTTTAAAGAGAGGAGTAATCATTCTCAAGTTTAGATGTGTGTAGATTGTATATATTTGTTTTGTTGTGTCACAGGCTCCAGATACGTGTCATGGTTGCCCAGTTTCTCAGTAGAAGTGACCCACACTCAACTCCTACATAACACTCAACCAACCCACACCTCCCAGCTAGAGTCCATGGCCAGGACGGTGAGTAAACACTATGGCCATAGTATAATTGTTGAATCAAATGGCCATCAATCAAGGAATCAAGAAGTTCCAAAATTATGTTTCTTTGTTGTATTATCGCAGGTAGTTTGTCATTATGTAACTTGCACTAATCCAAGCTCACTAATACGTGTCTGTGTGTAGAATAAATGTTCTTAATTTTTTGCTGTTTACCCAAAGTATTATGTTTGTTTTTACCCATTGTTCATTTGACATCAATTAAATTATTTGGTTGCTTACAAATTCTTAAATAAAAAATATAAGTTGTTACTAAAATAACTCTAAATTATCCAGCACCGTTGCTACCTCACTCGACTTTGTCAAAAAAGTTGATGGTTAAGGCTGTAACATAGAGAACAAGGGCTTAAGATTTTTAGGACTTTTGTGAGGATAACTTTGGTATAAAGGTTAGTATAGAGAATAGGCATACCTGAATGGGAAAGAGTCAAAACAGGCACAAGAAAAATCACTCCAGAAAAATTAGAATATTGTATTGTCACTGTCAACATTATTAACCTAGGAAGGTTTAAAGACCCATTGGGTCTGAAGATTTCTCTACTCAAACCTTCCTCCTTCCTACGCTGAGTAACTACTTAACTATATTCACTCAACTTATGGGTCAGTGTTGTCAATATTGGTTGGTTGGTCAATATTTTTATAATTATTCAAATCAGCAAATAAATCACTATATTAATGTTCTTTACATCCAGGGCCTAGACTCAATGTTCATTGCTCTTTTCTGAAACAAACAATTGGAATCCTAGATGAGTGTTCACAGGTTTCTAAGATAGGTTAATGATAAAGCGTGCTTTAAATTATTGTAGTTGTGGCTATTGTTTGATTAACTTGTTCTTTAACCTGTTCATTTTCTTTGATACAAGTATATTTCTCTAGTAATTTTTTTAAATTTTTAACTAGGTTCAACCATTTTGTTTCTTTTAAAATTACATTCTTTGATTTGTGTTATATTTTGTTGTTTTAAGTTGAAAGTAGTAGTTTAAACCTGTAGTTGTATGTTTTACATTTTACTCAGTTTCTTAAAAGAGAGTAATGTGTTTTTTTTTAGTTTTTTAAGTAGTTGATTTTTTTATACTAACCATAATTGTAATTCAATTAATTTGGTCTGCTCATATTGGCCCAGCCAGGTGTGGTTCATCCTTTATTCGTATTGGAAGCTTTAATAAAAAAAAACACAAAAATCCTAATAAGCCTGTTCATTGTTTGATTATCACAGTTTTGTTAGTTAATAAATCTGTACAAGTACAACTTTTTTTTATGAAGATGAAGATAATCATACACTTTTTACTCTTATTGCCTATAGGACAAATGACAAACAAACTCAACATTTTACGTGTAGATTATACGTGAAGGCCCATTAATTAGGCTTCCAAGTCAGCCATAATGTACTTTTAGATGTCTAGCTATCCATTTCAAAGAATTCCTATTAAGCTAACCATAATTCAAAGTTCAAAGTTCGGAAGTTCAAACTGCTGTTGGCAACCCTGATTCACCACCGGATTCATGAGGGTTTACTGTACTGGTGGTTTGATTGCAGGTGCAGCAACTGTTCCCACACCTACCACTGAATGTCATCATAGAGGATCTGCACATCACACGCAGTGTTGAGTTAACTGTAGAGAATGTGTTGGAAGGTCATGTAGTGGCACCACTGCAGAGTCCACCCACACCTCCTCCCCTGTCCACTCCACCGGTGACTCCGCCCTCCCTGGGGGCCGGCGTTTGGCAGCACGCCTCCAACAGGTTAGTTACGATCAAGAAACTACCGAGTTATTACTTACAGTATGACTCCCATTACCAATGACATCAGCCAATCGTACAGTTTTAGTCATCACAATTCGGTATGGAAAACATGTAGCAAATTTGGGATCACACTGTGTTTTTGTATTGGGAAAAACATTTCTTACAACTGTTTAACCACTACTCTGGCCAAGTCGTCCACTTTCTGGTGTCCTCAATGATCTATATTGTCTGTGTTTCTGTTCTGCTACTTTCTTCCATGATTTAACTCATGGTTGTTTTGTTCTGCACAAGGAACAGCATCGTTACAAGGAATAAAAAACCGCCAGCAAAAGGCTCTTTGTCGTTATCACTTAATTTTTTTATTAAAATTTAAAATATGTTTACACAGCGTAACTTCCATGTTTTCCGGCCCTAATTGTGAAGACTGAAATAATGGTATGAGTAGCCAATGAAAGGGCCCTAGTGACAGTCTTCACCCTTCACAGCCAGAGTACTACGTGAGACAAACTCCTCAATACATGTTTTTGCATTCTGTTTATTTGTTTTGAAGATATAAAAAGAACATCATCAGTATTGCAAATATTTTTAATTTGCTATAAGCAAAATGCCATAATTTGACTTGATGTGTTGCACTTCATTTTTGTAGCTGTAACATTTTAAAAATATTCATTCTGTGCGATTGAAATTAGTCATATTGCTTCTGATAGGATTTTTATTAGTTGGATGTGTATTGGAGTTCTACAACTGTTCAGTTCTTTTAATTAAATCAATCTGTTTTTGAATAGTGAATCTGCTGAGGAAGAAGAGGAACCATTGAACCCAGGAAGTCGATTTTCAAAGTCTCCAACAGAAAGGGAAAGAATCTTGTATGTTCGAAAAGAGAAATTGCTGCTTGGAGCTCGTCGAAGATATCTGGAGAGACTTCAAGCCTCTCCTTCTAGCTGAAGGGGTCCCTCTGTATCGTCAATGTTTACTGTCGAACTAAAGGCTTATTTTAATATTTCAACCACTAAATAAATAGTCGTTCAAGCAAAAATATTCTTTCAATTAAATGTTACGAATTAATTTTTTTAATGTTAGTTGGAATTCTCAAACCTTAAAAACGCTTTATATGCGGATGTATGTAAATTTTATATTCTTGAGCTTCTGGTTTCAATAAGGCTTTGTTATTTCACTCTCGTTAAATTTGTGCACCCAATAGTCGTTTATCAAGTACTTTTGTAAATGAAGAAATGAAAGACTGTGTTATTTAATAAGAAGATATCGTGATATTTTAGAATGATTAACAAGTACTTTCTTTTGTGTTTCACGTAGGTTAATACCATAAATTTTGTAGCTTTAGCGTTTTTGTTGTATATATGTTTTTATCTTAAGACTACACCAAAATGTTACTTTTCATACTTTAACTAGGCAATCTGAATCTAGTCTAGTTTTGTACTATATTGTTAATTTTAATCGTAGGAACATTAATTTACTAGGCTGTATTGCTGTTACACCTTTAATTTAATTAGGCTTATCTAATGAGTGAGTTTATGTAGATTTTTGGAATTCGGAAGGTAGAAATTACAATGTACACCCACATTAATTTAAATTGATTTTTAGCTTAGTTTATAGCTCGTATTCAGCTTTTGGTGAGTTAAAAAGTAGTTTGATATAAACAGTTTTAATTTTGACTAGCTGTAACCCGCGGGCTTTGCCCTGTTTAACTTCTTAATTTTTTGATTTAATCATTCCTCAGGTACTTTTACAGAGCTGATCTGGAATGTTTAAGCGAATGAGATTGTCATAAGTTTTGTCATTTGTCTAGTAGTCCTAGCAGTGTACCTATCAACCAGAGAAAAATTAAACTTCAGGTTTGTTTCTCGCAGTTATAAAAAGTGTTCAATCATTAGATTGGGTTTCAAACGACTGTTAGTATTATGTACAGTTTTGTTTGATTTTGTTGATAAAAGTGTAGATTGTATAACTGTGTATTGTAGGATTTGTGTACAAAATGACGCTCGACTAGTGACTGATTTTAGCATATTACACCCTGCATTAGAATAAAATATTCTTTGTGCATAATCTGTGACTTTGATTCACTTTCCTGCTAACAACTCTTTAAGTTAACTCAAAGTATAAAATGTTGTCTGTTTACAAAATATTGGGCTACTACTTTCTTATTATTGGTGCCAGCAGCCAGTCTACAATTTTCGTATCCCTTGGGCAATCTCCTCAAGCCACATAACTTACACAGAAATTTTGATTTTACATCACAGTGCATCAATTCCTGAATCAAAAAGAGCCTGATGATAAATGGTCTTAAATGAACAAACATGTTAGTTACAGTCTTTATTTATTAATATTTTAGAAATAGTTACATAACTTATAATCCTGGCGCAACAAAATTAAAACCACTTTGAGACCTACTCGGTATTACATAGTTAATTTCGGTGCACCATGAGACAATTTTTTATGTTAAAATAAACTGTATACAAATTACACCCAACATTATGTATCAAAACATGAAGAAATACAATTGTCATTAAATGCTTGTGTGACCAATGGAAGTTTTCCCATGCTCCAAGACTGGTTTTTTCTGTATCTGAAAAAAGACAAAAATTTACATTGTTTTTTTTTTTTTAATTCCAAATACCTAGTGGAATCTGCAAAGTGATGCTTATCATAAAACCTGTCAGGTGATCGATGAAGAAGTCGCAATTTCGAATTAATACTAAGAGTTTGTGTAAATACCTGCATTCCTGCATCTATGCGATTTCATTTGTTGCTAAATTGCAACCGGTATAGACTGACATAGAAGTCATTGTCGGGCCAGTTCAGATGTATTCTAGCTTCATTCGAAGGTCGTCAATTCATAATAAATAAATACATAGAAGCCTTGGATGCTCCCCTTCTGACGGTTGAAAGGTGCCAATAGAGTGATAAATTGTGTCCTGCACTTTTTACATGAAAGGCCCTCCACCGTTATATTCTTCAATTTTAGCTCGAGTGCTGACCATTGGGAGCGTAATATAGTATAGACATTGTTTCTATATAGGTATTTGAAACACTATTGATAAGGCATACATTATTTCTTAAGTTAAATAACAGTTGATGAACGATGTTTATGTTTTTTATGATTTATTGTGACTCATAGGTGATTGAAGGATTTGTGATTTGGTTTGAGGTAGTTTAATGTACCTAATAAAATATGTCTTATTTAAATTGAACAATTAACTTAGTAGTTTTGAAACTGCAAGATAGAAATTTAAGATGTCAAAAATAAAGAATATACCCTAGCCTATGTAAAAATGGAGACAAAGGTGAAAATCTAGAAAGGATAAACTATTTAGGATCTAGGTAATATACTGAAATCAGGAAAAATTCCAAAAAAATATCTGGTGAGTATAATAGGCCTATGTTAAATAGAATAATTACCCAGCTCATCAACCAATGAAGTTGATGACGACAAGATGCAAGATTATGTGAGCGAAGATGAAGTCTGCAAAACCTCGCTCCGGACTGATGCCATAGAACTGGCTCTTGTTCTGCGGATTAACTTGAAGTCTCAAACACACTGTAATAAAAATTCAGAAAATATGAGGTGTGCTTACTTGAACAACAATTTATAGGCATATAACAAATTTAAAATACCCCCGCCGCAGCAAACCTGCAGACTAAGCGAATTTCAACTTGTCTGTTTACATATTTACTCAAATATTTCCATAAATAAGACATATTTATTTCCAATTTAAATAACATTAGATTTAACGAGTGCTTAGGTTTCCTGCTACAGGGAAGGTAAATAGTGTTTTTTGACCAAACGTCAATAGTAGGCCTATAGGATGAAATAAATAATTTGCCCAATTTGATCAACATATTATCCATAAACATCCATAAACAAGTAAACTACAACAGTTTTCATTTTCTCCATAAGAATAACATGGGAATTTTAAATTTGCACTTTTTTGAATTTTCTCCGTAACCATTAGGCATACAACAATGTTTCAATATACTAAATTATTTATTTTTTTAAGCTCTGGTTGGGAAATAAATTCCAAAATTTTATGTTTTTTTTGGGTCAAAAATGGGAAAAACCCATTTTTACCCCATAAACCCCCGTTCCCGTGGTCCGATCATGCTGGTTTGCGAACTCGTTCGAATAAATGTAGGTTTACATGTTTATACTAAATTTCATCAAAATCGGATAATTTTTGTTCGAGTTATCATGCTAATGGACACACATATATATATATACACCTATAAATATAGCCTATAAATTTTTCCGTGATATTGATACTGTCGTGTTCGTTAATGTGTCTTCTTTCAGCTGACACTCTCGATAATAACCTACGCGGAAGTATTTTTTCCGCTAAACAGCCAGCAATAGATTTTATCAACTTAATGCTGACTTGACCCCCCCGAACTTACCCCCCAGGTACATGATATTGATACTGACGTGTCTGTTAAAGTGTCCTCTATCTGGTGACATCATCGGTAATATGGTACGCGACCGTATTTTCCCCTAACGGCCAGCAATCGGTTTAATCGGGCGCGCGCAATACTTATTGCTGGAGTTATTGCCAGGTTCACACCAATCGCGCACTACTTATTGCTGAGTTATTGCCAGCTTCATACCAATTGCGCACTACTTATTGCTGAGTTATTGCCAGGTTCATACGAATGTAGGCCTAGGCTTACATAGTGTGCGATTTAGGCTAACACATTTCTTACCAAAACTTCTCGATCATATGCGCGAACTAGTAACTTTTAGGTTAGGCCTGCCTAATTGGAATCTTGTAGGGGGGACAGTGGGCTTGAGCCCCCTAGTCCATATTGATTGGATAATTGACACCCATGTAGCCTATTAGGGAGTAAGATAAGGGTCTATTTTAAACCATCAATCAATGAGTCTAGGGTCTAGGTCTATGGTCTATGACCAATGATAACAATTTACATAGATATTGATTACCAGTAAGTTTTACCTACTTAACCCAGCTTTCACCCTAACCATAAAACAAAAGACTTACCTGCTAACACAAAGCTGCTCACACAAGAAATAAATCCACTCAAAAATGAATTGAAAGGAAAAGTGCCAACAAGACAGCAGTATAGAAATTGGACAGCACCCGTCAATAAAACATAGAACAAATAGGCATCAATAATTTTGAGCTTTTTGGGAGTGTGAGCTGTGTACTCATCATAGAATTTTACGACAACAGAACTAAGGCTTGACATTTTCAAAAATGAAATTGGTACCAAATCAAATAACAATTACACAGATAAAGTACTACCGGACCGGCTCTTCAAAAATGCATAACCTTAAACCAAAACCACAGACAGACTTTATTATTGCAGTATTGCAGACGTCAAAATCATAGTAGACCAGACCGAAACAGATCAGATAAAACCACCAACCAACCACGCAGTCACACGTCATGTAATACAAACAGCTGCTATTTTTTAATTAACTATTATTTGTACGCACGTTTTAGATAACATGTAACTTCGCTGTTAGATCGAAAAGCTCGGAGTGCCAGCACGGCCACCTTTAACTCCAAGCCACGGCATTCGATGCGGCAACATCGTCAGTAAATGCTGTTGCAGCTCATATTACAACTGTTTTGTTTGGATTTAATACTTTACAATGAAATGGAGACCATACAAAGTAGGTATTTTAAGCCAAGTAGGAATGGAGATGAGTATAGGATGAGTGGCGCTAATTTAGCTGTTTCCAAACAAAACAGCTGTTACAACCCTACTTGCGACGTTGCCACTTCGAAGGCCGGGGTCTGGAGTTAAAGCACGGCCACCTTTAACTCCAGGCCACGGCCTTCGAAGTGGCAACGTCGCAACTGGTGTTACAACAGCTGTTTTGTTTGGAAGCAGCTAATGGTATTTTTGTATTTACGAAAGATTGGTTACTGTTACTACTGGACTATGACAATATTGACTCCGCTTAAAATGTACAGATATAAATTTTTTAATATTCATATTGTTTTGGTTTTCAATTCTGTATGTTTTATTTTCAATATTTTTTAATAAATGTATGTTCATAAATTTAAATTTAAATAAATAAAGTGTGAACTAATGAGCTGATGTCACCTGTCTGCCATGTTATCTTATGGGACGTCTGTCACTAAACAACACCACTTGCGACGTTGCCAATTAATTCTACCAGCCGCGGCCTGTAGTTTTAAAGGGAGCCGTGCTCCACTCCAGTTATAATCTATTCATCCATCTCAATGAGTCCAGCTGGAGCTTAACAGCTGGTCTATATTGTCGTCGCCGGACCTTCGCTCTGTGTCGGCTGCGAATTTTATTGTTCTTGGTGTCATTGCAAACATTGTTATAATGATAGGGACTACAATTAATTAAATTACAATGTTATAGTATTTTGAATAATGTTGTCCTTTAGAAACTGAGTGAGTTAATTTTACACCCACATAAATGTAAAATTTGCAATCTTAACTCATTTTACAATTGAAAACTTATTTTTAGGTTAGGTAGGCCTACTATAGGCTTATCAAGTTATCAATGTTGTGGTCACTAGTATTTACTCGATCTTTCTCAAAACCAGCAAGCCAACGTTTCTCTGGGTAAGATTAATCTATAAAGCTAAGTTATCAATTAAATAGTTGAGATGGTGATGCCACCTAGGTGTTACAGGAGCCTTAAACAAATATTTTGGATTGTGTTTAGTTCACTGTACATGCTTCTCTCTTCTTAATGATGACGAATTTGAAATAACAAGTCATTACATACGATAGGCCAAATCATGATAAGTTTAGTGCTCACTTCGAGTAGGCCTACTCATAAGTGACCCAAGCCAGAGACCTGATTGCTTAATAACAACAAAGTAGGCCTAACTTACCCACTTTGTTATTTTTTTGTTTGTTAGCGACAAGTCCAAGAGCATTGTTACTTAACATTATTAAAAACATAGAGGATAGGCATCCAGTAACCGGACGTGGATTAGGCGTCCATCAGTGACATCACAGGGTTGTTAGGGCACGGAATGCCATTACCACAACGATACGATGCACAGCCATCAGTGTTTGTGGTACAGTGGATAGAGTGGTCGGCTGATATGTAAGAGGTACCACCTACCTGGTTCGAATCCCATCAGTAACCTTATAACTTTTTGTCAAAGATTTTGCTTTGAATTCCATTTCTTCTTAACTGTAAGTTTAAATCTTTGTTAGAATTTTTGGCATTTAAGTTATAGTTTTATTGTATGTACAGAATTTAACCTTCATTTGATTTAATTGTTGATCGTTGAATTAATTATGCCTAATTCATCTTCATGTGCCTTTAGGACCAACTGAGATGATAAAACAGTGCTGATTTACCTGAAATCTGTCATTTAACATTTGTAATCCTGTGTTACAGCTTAGACCTTAACCTTATGACTGATTTCAATCAATATTACATTTGCACCTTAGTTACGTAAGCCTCTTTGATTGTAAGCTTCGAATAAAAAATAGGTACTTTCCTGTTAAAGGGAACATTCATTATTATCGATGATTTTTTTCTCGATATATCGATATTAACAAATTGAAACATATCAGCTGACAACTACGAACAATATTGATCAGTATCAACAAACATTAATGAAATGAAACTATAACTAAAAAAAATAACCTAACATAACTAACCAAGCTTGCTGTAACATTTAAAAATTCCGTGTTTATAACTTGCCTTTTATATTCAAACCAAAACTAAATTTTTTTAATTGTACAGCAAGTTTGGTTGGTTATGAAAGGTTAGCTTGGAACAGTTTCATTTCTCAATCCATATAATAGACTATTTTAGCCTAAACAAGATCAGTTAATTGTTGTCAATTTGTAATGGATCGGAAATCAAAAACATCAATATATCGAGAAAAAAATCATCGATAATAATGAATGTTCCCTTTAACAGGAAAGTACCAAATATTATTTTATAACTAAATTTAAATTTTTTTGGGCTAGTTCTGTAACACAAATATTTTGCTCACAACATTGGAATTATATTAGCCCTGCTTGACTTACAAACATAGGCCCTTTAATTGTTAGGTCCATAAGCTCACTTTACATTAAAAGCTTCTTTCTTGTAGGCCTAAGTTATTAAATAATGAGCTTAACCGTGTCTTATAGCCTATAGGATGGGATTCAGCGATGCGGAGGCAGATCCTCTCCTTTGGCTGCCGGCCGCGGGCTGTCGTACATGATCCGAATTCTACAAAAACCGAACGAATGTATTCTCGATCCGGTATTTTCGGTCGATACTTTTGCGTGACTGTGACGTCAGTCTCGGTCAAAATTAGATACCGGTACCAAAAAGTGCTCACCTTTAAATGAACGATCTTGACTGATGAAACAGCTGGTGTTAGCATATTCAGCAACAAAGCTCATCATATCACACCATTCTACACTCATCCTTCACTCATATTTGGGTAAAAATATGCCCCAAGGTGGCGTCCCCATATCAGTTAAGGGTACTTTCCTGTTAAAGGGAACATTCATTATTATCGATGAATTTTAATCGATATATCGATATTTTTTTTCCCTTTACAATCCATTACAATGACAACTGATCTTGTTTAGGCTAAAATCTAGTCTATTATATCGATTAAAACTGTTCTAAGCTAACCTAACATAACCAACCAATCTTGCTGTACCATTTTATAAATTCCGTTTGATTACAGAAAAGGCATGTGGGGAAGATTAAACGGAATTTTTAGTTGTTACAAGTTTGGTTGGTTTTGTTAGGTTGGTTTGGAACAGTTTCATTTAAATATTTTTTTATACTGAACAATATTTATTTATCGTAGTTGTCAGCTGATAGGTTTCAATTCGTTAATATCGATATATCGATTGAAAATCATCGATAATAATGAATGTTCCCTTTAACAGGAAAGTACCCAGTTAAGTTAGGCTAATTGATAATTGCTATGGAGACTCTTTATCGAATTAGCAAGTGTTGTGTAACCAAACAGCTCTTCAAATATTGGCATATTGATTCATATAAGTGATAAATTAAAGTAAGTTGTGCAAGGTTTAGAATGGAAATCTCATGTAAATTATAATTTTAAAACCTTAGACCTCCCTTTGTGTTTTTACAGCTTCCAAAAGTTAAAATTTGAAAACATCGTTCAAAATGTGAAACAGAGTTACCTTTCGAACCCAAAGAAGTATAAAATTGGTGAGAAGTGTTCAAGAATAAATGTTATATTAAGACTGAAACAACCTTTTACAACTTTGACTGTGGTAGCGGGTGTCAGTGGATTGAGTTTGGTCAAGTTTTGTGTTCGTCCTAATGTTTACTGTAAACCAGCTGAGAGTAAAGATGACAATCCACAGTTTGATTGGACCAAGTTCTTTGAACTCATCAAACCAGATGTTTTGTGCCTTATTGGAGCTATTATCGTAAGTAGTCCTACCTATACTAACTGTAAGTTAAAGTTTTTATTTTCACTGCCATTAAATTTAAAGCAGTTTAGCAGAGCAGTGATTATTTGGCTTTCTTCTATAATTTGGACATAATTTATATCAATAATATTTTGTTGTAAAGATTTTCATCCTTCACAAAAACCAGATGTCAGGGAATTACCATCGGATGTACAGTTTAGGTGAAATATGTTTTATATCAGATGATAGACTATAAATTATGTCATTTTAGCTTGTAACTATTAACTATAAAATCAAACTAATTACTGCCAATCATACTTCTCTACATCTTATGTAGGCCTATCACATTGTTTCATTGTATTTTTTTTATAAACATAATTCATTCATTTATTCATTAAGTTACCTATCCACAAGCACTGTATTTGTATACTTAAACGTCTCTAAAGTAGCTACTGTATAGTTTTTGTGCGAGTTCATATGCATCTTTATATGCCTATTAAGTGTAAATCCAGAATATTCATTTTATAAGCAATTTCAATGTAAAAAAAAACATGATTCAAAATGCTTTAAAAAAATCTGATGTAAAGATATTTTTAACACGTTCGCTGCGGGCCATCAAATGGCAGGCGTAGCCTCAGCGCGGCGCAGCCCGCAGCGTCGAACAAACCCGATTGCCGGGTGTTTGGCTCTCATATTTCGGTATGACGAATAGAAAATAACGTGCGGTGATGTCCTGTTTTATAACAAGAGTCGACGTAGTTCGCTAAACACTCACATATAGCAGCACTGCTTGGAACGTAGCCGGTCCCATCGTATTGCCAATTGGTGGGAGAAATACGGGACAACAAGTTGATTTTTAAGTTTGCCAGACGGGATTTTATGGGGAAATTTTACTACCAACCTACAACACAACAAAAAGCAAGTCACCCACTACACGCTAACGTGGAATTGGTCTGCCTTCGACTGACGCTAGAGCAAAAACGATGATATACTAAAGGCATTGCCGAGCGTATCCGATCGGTTACGGCAGCGTCTGAACAGCGCTCGGCCCGTATCCGATCGGATACGCCCGCAGTGAACGTGTTAATGTGAAACTTAATATGGTGATATTCTAGTAGAATTGTGTTAGATTAAAATAGATTATGTATACTTAATACACTGATTTACCCTACTACATCCCTTTTTACCCGTCCTTCTTATCGATTTAATTAATACAATTGAGGTGTAATTTTAAAGGATCATCATCAGAAGGTCCAAAGCTTTCACACGAGGTCCAAAAATAAGTTGTACAGAAGGTCACATAAACGTTACTGACTTTCTAAATAGCCCTCGTGTTTAGCCTATTTATTTTTTTTTTGAATCGGTAAAATTTTTATATGACTTGTACTTCTTACAGGCCATATTAGCTGCTGCCGTTTTGAACATACAACTGCCCAGACTTCTTGGAGACATAGTCAATGTGATGACGAGGTTCATGTCATCGGTCGGGTCACAGGCTAGCTTCAGTTCAGAGATGCGAAGCCCGGTGTTCAAAATACTCGGTCTTTATATTGCACAGGTGAGGTTCAAAATCATAGCATTCAAATTTGCTGAAGCCACAAAGATAGAGTTTAGTAAACTGAAACCATATTCATGGAAAATTATAAATAATTCAAATTTAAAGTATGTAGATTTGTGCTGCGTAACTTTTCAAAGTTAAAGTATAAAAAAACAGTATACGTATATAATTTATTTGTGACTGTTATCTGTTATGTTGAGTTCTACAGTACATTACTTTCAGTCTTATTCGACAGTAAAAGGTTATATTACCAGTGCTTCAATGAGTGTCCTTTTGAGTCAGTTGTAGGTCAGCCACACAAGCTCCAAGAACAGCTCAGTAGCCTACACTCTAATTCATCAACTTATGATAGGGCACTAGGTAGTATTAACGCACATTTTGCAGTATCAATTGATTAAAATAAAACCAGCCAGGTATCCTTTTAAATTGAATATTTTCCTTAAGCTTAAGAGTTGATATTTACACTATTAAGTCAGTGTATAAAAGTATTTTGTTCTTTTTTTTAGATTAATTGAGTCTTATTTAGATGTGATGTTCCAGGCTTCAGCCACGTTCCTCTACATCTATCTGCTGTCCGGGGTAGGGGAGAGACTTGCTACAAGGATCAAGGTTCTGCTCTACTCCTCTATTCTGCGCCAAGATCTCCAGTTTTTTGACAAACAACGAACTGGCGACCTAGTAGACTGGTAATACAATGGTATCATCAATGTTTTACATCTTTTGCTACAGAGCTTACCTGTAAATGGTCCAGAATTTATAATAGTTTGAACTCTGTTGTCAAAATGAAATGAATGCTGTAATTTTCATGCTGTCTACCCAAATTACCTTTTGCAATTAAATTACGCTTGGCTTACATATGCTTTTTTATTGATTTAAATCAAAGCTAATGCAAATCATGTTAGAAAGTATTAAAAAATTACCAGTCGATGACCTTTTACTCAATATATATTTACAAAACATTACTATTTTTAGAACAATTTTGAGAAATTCTGGAAAAAGGAAGAATTATGTGTGAAGAATTATAATTTGAGAAAATTACAAATATTTTCTTCTACTACTTTCCACAGTACAAAGTTTTATGAAAAACATCTTTATTACAATAGAAGAAAAGATCCGATCTATTCTAATGAAGACTTCAATGAAAAATCCATAAAAAATATAAAAATGAAATTATAAAGAGATTAAATTAATACTAAACTTAAGTTAAAAATTAATTAATTAACTGTGGATACAATTTTGTCAAGACAATAAAGTATTTGTTGTTTATTTATGATTTTATTTCATATTGTGTAAAAGATAAAAATTTTCCTTAGATTTATTTCTTTACAGAAACAATTAATTGACTGGTATTAGCAAAATGTTTAGTTTCCATTAGGCCCTGGGTACGATACGAGCGGGGAGCGGGTCTGACATCGGATCTCATTTAGTTGCGTGTAAATTCGTTGAGGGTGCCCACGCGGCGGTGAGCGGCACCGCTCAGCACCGCTTATGGTTTCAAGTCAAAACCAATTTTCGCGAAAACACCGCTCGCCGCTCAGGTGAGTCATGCTTCAGTTCGGCCTAAAATGACAGAGTAACAGCAGCAAACGTGCGATACGGGTTGATACGTGAGGTGCAGTCTAGGGAATGTTTGTGGAATGATCAACACGGAAGTTTTAAAACACTTCACCAGAAAAGTTTGGGACCAAGTTAGGGTCAAGGTTTTTCTAAAAACTTAAGTTTTTCTTTAAAGTCAAACAATTGTCAGATAGCAACAATAGTTGCAATACGTCTTGCAGGTAAGCATAGTTTACCATTTTCGACTAAACTGACTCATAAAACTGGGGAAATTTGATGAGCGTTATAAAAGTGCCGCTTGTAAGTGCCACCACCGTAGCTTACATGCCGCTCAGGTTGCCGCTTGCCGCTTGTATCGTACCCGAGGCCTTAAGGGGTTTAAACAGTAACATTTTGTAGAGTTATTAAACTACATGAAACTATGGAATGGTGTTGGTAAAATGTTAAATCAGTAATTTAATGGCTAATTTTTTTGTATACAAATGCTTAGGAAACAATTCTTGTTTGTTTTTCTATATTATTGAACCGATTACTGGCTAGTTTATGAATAACTTACTAGTAGTGATATGAAATTATTAATCACTACACTTAGCACTTTCATTCCAATATTAACTACAGGTTGTTGTTTTACATGATGGCTCCCGTTAAGTTTCTACTTTTCTATAGACAAAGTGCATTCAGAAAAAAACAACTTCACATTTTGTTATATTCCAGCATAACATCAGATGTTCAGGAGTTCAAAAGTGCCTTCAAGATGGTTTTTGCCCAAGGTCTTCGCAGTATTGCGCAGGTAATTTTAATTTTAAACAATTTAAACCTGTCCTTTATTTTCTCTTCAGATCTGCAAGAAAATATTGTAAAAATTGTAGGCCCGCAGTGGACGAGTCTTCTCAATTGAAATCACATTTATATGCCCCACACACGGGCCCTTGAAAAATTACATGGTCACTGACTTATTTGTAATCTTTTTCTTTTTGATTGACAAAGTGGTCAGTGACAATGAAATATTTCAATTTCAATGGACCCAAACACCCAACTGTGGGGAGATAATGACCGACCCGGGTAGCTGATAGGTCCGTGCACCAACTTACCGAATACACACTGTGGTGTGTTCTTGGCTTAAGAACTAGTCAAAGAACTAAGTATCAAAGGGCGTGTTCTGGCATCATGTATTGGTGCATCGGTGCAGAAGATACGGTGACTAACTCTCCAAGAGTCTTGAGATACAAGAACGGTTAGACACCGGTTTACGGTACACATCATCGGATTATAATTTAAACGTCAACCTACTCTTTTCTTTATTAAAATTGGACAAACTTACCCTCACAGAATAAATTACTCACTTATTACGTAGTATAACCTATCAAACTGATAAACAGTTGAACATTTATTCGATGGACCTGCCATTTTGGCGTAGCTGCATACTGGTGTCCAAGAAACTGACCAATCAGATGCCGCTGGCGTATTGTGCACCGCACGATTTCTCCTGTGCACGAATCTTGCACCAGTGGAGGAAGAAAGAGGAAATATCTGTCTGCTAGGTAAACTCACCGGGCTCCCAGAACTACACATTATTTCCACCGGTGGACCGCTTTGTATTCCTCGAAGGCACTTAAAGTTGACATCTCATTCATTTAACATACATTGTTTACTTATCTTAACCTTAAAATTGTTGTTGTTCCTTACTCATATTTGCCTGTTTTTTGTTATTTTTCCTTTATGTGACAGCAACCTAAAAATCTAATCTAATCTACAATCCTGGCTAAGAAGCAGCTGGTCTTAGTCACTAATAAAGCTACACAGATCATCTCACTCCACTCTACACTAATCCTGCATTCACATTCCGCTTGAAATACGCACCAAATTTTGTGTAGCTGTTTTAAGGAATTGAATTGAATACAATTTGGTACAATACTTACTTACTTACTGCCATGGCTCCACAAATCTCAGTTGATTCTTCGCCTCGTGTACCAGCCTCTTCCACCCTTCTCTGTCTTCTGCAAAGTTGACACTTGCACCCATTGTCCTGATGTTGTTCAATAATTGGTCAGTCCATCTCAATTTCAGCCTTCCCAATGGACGTTTACCTCCAGGTGTGGCTCTCAAAACTTCATACAGTCTTGTTCCTTTCTCTCTTCTTAGCACATGCCCTATCAACTTAACCTTCTTCCTTTAACTTTTGCAACAATATCTGGGTCGGTGTATAGTGATCTTAACTCTCTATTTTTCCTTATTCTCCACATTTGTCCCTCCTGTACTGGACCAAATATTTTTCTTAGTACTTTATTTTTAAACACTATGAGTCGGTTTTCATTTTTCTGGGACACTGCCAGTCCCAGTAGTGCAATCCAGTTTGATGCTTCCCCGTAGTGCAGGGTGGGAAACGCCTCTTAGGTTGGCTTGGCACTTATGAGGTAGGCGAAAGGCAGGCAACTCGAGCCCGGTCCTCCAAGGGCTTGTGGGGGTTGGGCGTTGGGCCAACAGCCCGCCCCGGAAAACATACCAGTTACGAAACGTAGTTACCAAGCCTCGGAAAAGGATTAAATTGGTACAATAGCCTATGCAAATATTAAGGGTGTTTATTGACAAGACAAGGGTGTGTTGCTAGCGTAGTGGTTAGCATCTCGGACTTTGGTGCAGGAGGCTCAATCTCCAGCATATCCACAATAATATAACGGGGTGTGGACCGCTTTCACTTAAAAAGCGTTTGTGATACTTTGTTTGGATGGATACACTTATGCCTACCTTACCCTTGTATGTTTTGTTTGTGCAGATTGGAGGGTGTGTAGTGTCCATGTACAGCCTGTCTCCGCCCATGACTATGGGAATGTTGGTGATAGTCTCTACCGTCATTGTTGGAGGTAATTAATGATAAACATTAGCAATAACCAGCAAAATTGTGATATTATTAGTATGTCGAGAATCAATATAGCCGTGTGTATTTGTTTACTGGGCTGGCTGCATATTAACAGCATCGGATACATTCGCATAAAGCTCATAGACGTAGTGGACAAGAAGCAGATATTTCTGCTGATTCTTTACACAGACTGATTGGTGTTTTTACAGTAACCCTAGGTTCACCACTATGGTGTTACTTACTCGAGCTCTTTATAAGCACCGTGACCTTGTAAGTGGCATGGCACCCTTTCAGTGTTCAACACGTAAATTTTGTATGTGAACATCTTTCAACGTTAGGTTATTTGATATAAATTTCTTTTTAATTTCATGTTCTTTTTCCAAAATAAAATGTGTGATTGAAATAGCAAACCACTTTTAAATTTTTTATTTAGTTACCTTTTAATAAAAACAAGATGCAGATATATCCGCCATTATCTTGATATTCATGGACAGGTAGTGGAAGTAATTTGTTATGTTATGTTGTATTAAGAGTTAGGAATCGATAAAATTAAAAGAAATAAAAATGAATATTTCTCATTTTACAAATTTTGCCTGTTCTAGGCCAAGACACCGGCTTGTACGGGAAGAGTTAATACAATCTAAAGTCAGTTTTTCAGCCGAAAAAGAGTTTAACAGCTGAGTAGTTAATAACTGACATGGTGATGTAGGTACAATGCTGGGCTCACTGCTGCGAGTTCTGTCTCGCCAAGCCCAACATCAGTCCTCCGTTGTGACTGTGATCAGTGAGGAAACTATCAGTAACATCCGCACTGTGCGAGCCTTCGCCAACGAACAACTCGAGTGTGACAGGTAGAAATCATGTCATACAGTCTAGTACCATTCTAAGTTCTTAAACCCAGACTTTTAAATATTATCTCTGTTTAAAACCTACTTCCTGTATGCTCTCAATTTTACTGTAATATTCAAACTTACAGAATCGGATGATTTAGAATCAAGGAAACGTCCATCTTTGTATTTCTTTTTTTTTTTTTTTTTTTTTTGCGACTTTCATATGGTAGAGGCTCTAGCCTGGGACTGCTTCACACATTACTTCAGGCTAGGTTTAGGGGTAGTGGTATTATAATAAAGTTAAAAGCAATTGTTAAACGGTGGTATTTGCACTGAGGACTTTGAGGATCGAAGCCCCTCGTTCTATTACTAGACCTGCTCAATATATGTTTAAATATTTAATTGTGGTTTTGGTTTTCTTTCATAGGTTTCAAGATGAAGTAGAAAAAGCGCAAAATCTTTACCAGCGGCTGGGTATGGGTATTGCAGCATTTCAGGTAGGGTTCTAGACAAGCAATATTTGTGAGAATATAGTAAAGTTTAATCAAATTATTACAGTTACAACAGATGCTAGGCCTATTTTTTTTAATGCTTTGCACACCCCTAGTTATTATTCAATTAAAATAAACTTAGTCTAAGTGTTGCTTCTTCAGTTGTCTTTCAGAGTGTGAAAAAGTAGTGGGCATATTGTAATTTTGAGGAATTAGCTGTTTTGTAAACTAATCATAAGTAGGCTAAGAAAATGCCAATTTGTATAACAACTACTATAGACAAAAACCACTATTTCAAGATGACTGTATCTGATAGGCAGGCACCAATCTGTTCCTGAACGGTGTTGTGTTGGCATCACTGTGTATGGGAGGTTACCTGATGGCTACGGAAGAGTTGCAGCCTGGCGCACTGATGTCGTTCTTGGTGGCGACACAGACAATACAACGGTCACTGGCTCAGCTGTCGCTGCTGTTTGGCAACTATGTGCGAGGCATGCAGGCCGGCTCTAGAGTGTTTGAGGTGAGGTTGCCTTGTAGACTCTCGCACCCTACTGATATGATAGCCATCCAGAAACTTGATTTTGTTTTGGAATTGAAAATAAACAATAGGACAATTTTGTAATATAGCCTATACTGTTGAAAGCCACGCTTAAATACAACAACACTTTATATTGTTTTACGCCAGGTCACCATGAAAATTAAAACACTTGTTACAGCCATACATGAGATTGATAATTCCTTCCTCGCAAAATTCTGCCACTTATGTCTTCTACCAGCTTTTCACTTTTTGCAGCAGCTGTTTGTCGGCAAAACACTGCATTGCCAGCTACTTCATCATTGATGGAAAGAAGTGGTAGTCACTCAGTACAAGGTCCGGACTATATGTGAGGAAACCCAATTGAATGATTCCAGAAATTCTCGTTTTCGATTTGCCGTGATTTTAGCTATCGTTTTAAAGTAACAAAATCTTCCCCTCATTGTACATTTCACAAAGTTGTCAGTAAAATTAAAATTGTTTTCAGTTTTTTTACATGCATAAATAAACCAAAAATTAAAAAAGTGCACGGACATCACTCTATTTATTAAGGCAAACATTTCAATCAGCCACTAACTAGATGGTTTAAAACACAAACCACTCATTAGCAAAACTTGATGCTAACTGAGCGGCGTGGCGTCCTGGAACCAAGATGGCCACAGTAGCTCTGGTCTTTGCGGGTACAGACGGAAACATAATATACTTTTGAATAGCCGTTGTATTATGTTTGAGGAATTTTTGCCATCAAAGTGTGTAATCTCATCTTGCATTCAGGTTTTTTTCAGCATAATTTTTAGAGACAATCTCTTCATGATGACCAGAGTGTGACTGGTCAAGATCTAGTTCTCCTGATATGAGATACATACCTTTACGTCAACAGTTCAATTGTAGTAAGTAGAACTCACAACATGTTTCGCCTATTCAGGCATCGTCAGGTGATATCCTAACAAGAATGCTTTGTCTTCATCCATGATGGGGTCGTCATTTAAATAAATATACACTCATTACGCACGAAAACATTTAACAATTAGAGTAGGCCTACTCTAATTGTTAAATGTTTTCGTGCGTAATGTGTGTATATTTATTTTATTTAAATGTTTCTTGACGACCCCATCATGGATGAAGACAAAGCATTCTTGCTAGGATATCACCTGACGATGCCTGAATAGGCGAAACATGTTGTGAGTTCTACTTACTACAATTGAACTGTTGACGTAAAGGTATGTACCTACCTCATATTAGTCTAATTAAACAGTTCAGGGGTTACATCATGAATTTTAATTCTATTTCTTCTGTTACATCTTTTATTTTTATTTCTCATCTCGTAATGTTTACAGTGTAAGAAAACATGTGTTTGATTATATTCCTAGTCCTACTACAAAATGAGAAAACAATAACCAACCCATATTGAGGTAATTGCAAAAGTGGTGTTGCAAAATACCTGCATAAACCACCATTTTCAATATTTATCGGTGATTCGGAAGCCATAACCCAATCATGCTATTAATTGTGGTGTTTTTATGTATTCGCCTTTGACAGCGAGTTGTGTTGTTGTGTATGTTTGTAATCTGCCGTAAATAAAATGTTCATAAAACCACAAGTTGTATTTATGTAATCCTAAGGTACAAAAAAGTTTGTATTTTTCCAGTACATCAACACTGAGGAGAAAATCCCACTGTCAGGTGGCAAGACAATCCCGTTCCATACTTTGGTGGCTGATGTAGAATTTGACAATGTGACATTCTCCTACCCTACTAGACCTCAGCAGGTGAATAAACTGCACAAAGTTTGGAAATGTCGTCTTATCTTAGATGTGGAGGAAACACATTTAACCGCTTATTTTCTATCTATTTCATCCTCACTTCCAGAATACTTGTTTTTTAGGTCAGTTAAAATTTTACTCGAGATAAGCTGATTGTTAGGTGACATCAAATGTTTGGAATATTTTTGCTTTACAGCAGAAAGAATAGGAGAATGCAAAGAAGCAAAAACAGTGTATTTCTTTATTAGAGCCTAAAGTGACCAAACTCACGTTGGAAAATTACTGAGGGTTAAAAATACACTCGGCCCGGGTAATGAACTATAAGGTTCATCACTGTGCCATAATTTAAACTAGCTAATCACAAAACAACAGTTTGGTACATTGTTTACACAACTTTAATTAGATCTCAAAACTATTTATTTAGAAGCAATAAGTTACATATTCCGCCAACACACCAATAAATATAAACCAAAAATCATCATTTTCATCTAAATTCAATAAAGGTTAGGCAGAAGTGTTTATGCTATTGTAGTGAAACGTACAATGTTTGTATGATTATAGACCTACCTAAATACAAAAACATTTTTATAACAATGCAATGATAGTTTTTGTCAATCTGGACAATTTTCCTCGGCAAAATCAGTGAATGCTACTGGCTGATGTCCTTGACTCCAGCTGATTATTTTACACCCTAGGGAGAAAAAAGCTACTTAAGACCTGTGATGTGATGCATGCAGGTAAAACAAGGTGTTTTAACTGCAGTATAAAATGAACAAAAAACATAGTTTTATCAGTTTCGATTGGAAATTATTTTTTGCTATGAAATAAAACTACACAATTTGCATTCCAAAAAGTAACAGTAGTTAAAAATTATTGATTTGATTAAAAATTATTTTGAAAATCAAATGTCCCCGTTTTTGTATGGATGCAAAAACATATTTTCACTCAACTGTAAGTAGCAAACGTGTTAAGTAGCCTTTATGAGGTAGCTACCATTCATAAAGAAATTATAACCACATTAGACACTGTTAGATTCATTATATTTTTAAATTCCTACAAAAATCTTTTAAACTTACAAAGCTACAAATTTGGTTGAAACTTTAAGTTCGACTAATGAATCAATTGAATAATTAGATTAATTAATTATTAAATGTATTTTTCCAGGTGATCCTGAAAAATTTCAACCTAAAACTACCAGCAGGAAAAACGGTAGCAATTGTTGGAACTTCTGGTAATGGCAAGTCCACAATAGCTGCTCTCCTGGAGAGGTGTGTATATGTTGATGCTGTAAAATTAACATAAATTATTTCTAGATAGTTGTATCAAAAGCTTATACTTTTAACTAGATGTAGTACTTCACAGATTAGCGTACGAGTTTCTACGATAAATTCAGAAGTAAAATTTACACTGATCTAAGCGAAACTGGAAGATATTTAACTTTTGGGTTTTTTAATTGAAGCTGTACCGTGTTCATATGAACTCGCGTATTACATTTTGTGTAGAAATAATGCAATGACCATTTAAAATTTAGACAGCATAACCATAAAATGGAACACCATAAAACTGGAACAGGAGCCAGCCAACAACCTAAATACATAAACAAATTTTCCATAATATAAAAAAAACTGCACCTGGACTCTGCAGCTACTAGGTTATTTTACTTTCTACCCAAAGCTCTTGCAGAAATAACATAACATAAACACTTTCAATGTTAAAGGTTCTATGATGTAGATGAAGGTCACATTAGACTGGCTGGTGTGGACCTGAGAGAGCTAGACCCGAGCTGGCTGAGAGGTCAGACTATTGGACTGATCAACCAGGAGCCTGTGTTGTTTGCTACGTCCATTTTAGAAAACATCCGCTACGGTCGACCGTCTGCCTCTGACAGTGAGGTGGGCAGATTGTAAATTTTAATTAAATCACTATACTACTGGTTTCTGGAATGGAAAGGTTAGGGAAGGCCTATAGGTGTTTCTTGCTACTTTTATATTTGATATGTGGCACCAATCGTCTTAGTCAATAAGCTAAGGGGTGCCAAAAAGGCCAAAGGAATAAGTGTTAGCATAAAAAAATCCATATTATTGCTTTACTCCTTAAATGACAAAAAGGCCATCCAACCTCCATCTCTATTCCTCCAACAGAATTCTGACTAGATTCAGTTCAAGTACTGTACAGCATTGTGAAGTAAAGTAAATAAAAGATACGTCTAAATAACACTTAAAAACATACCAATCTAACTACCTAACTCACAAGACGTCAGCATTCTGTTAATAGAAAATTAGTATCAGAGACGAGAGGTAAGATATCCCGTAGTAGCCACATCCCAATCCCTTTAAAAAAATCTTAATTCTCTAGTCACAATAAAGATGTATTGCACACTAATTTGACAGCAGTGAGTTAACAAGAACTAAGAACATATGGTAGTAAACAATCCTTTAGGGCCCACCCTTACTCGGGTAACAATAATCAGTAAGTACTCAGAGAGAAAATGTACAGGGTGGCGCAGATGGATTGGGTGGTTTTAAAATACTTGTCAAACCGTCAATTTTAAAGGTATTGGATTGAAATAAAGTGCAAAACGTGTAGTTACAATGGAAGTTTATTGACAAAAAATTTGTTAAGTTAGTTTTTAAAAATTACATCCATCAAATGCCTTCCTTCTCGAGCGACGCATATGTGATTTCGTTGTGAATTGCAGCCTTCAACTCCTGAATGGTCCGGAGTTTGTTCATGTAGACACTTGCTTCAGGAGTTGAAGGCTGCAATCACAACGAAATCACATCAATTCCTGGTGATGTGCTTGAGCGAGCAATGCGGAACCTCAAGGACCAACTCCAAGAATGCGTCGCTCGAGAAGGAAGGCATTTGATGGATGTAATTTTTAAAAACTCACTTAACTAATTTTTTGTCAATAAACTTCCATTGTAACTACACGTTTTGCACTTTATTTCAATCCAATACCTTTGAAATTGACAGTTTGACAAGTATTTTAAAACCACCCGATCCATCTGCGCCACCCTGTACAACAGATTTAAGAATTTACTAAAGGAATATATTGTGTAAAAATCGTGGTATGTGTAAATCGTTTTGATGTCAGCTTGATAGTTGAGTAGTTATAGTGCTTGCCTTGTAATCAGAAGGTAGCTGGTTCGATTCTATGTTACTTTGTTTGTATTACCTGTCACTTGTTTGGTATTACTATGTTAATTATTCTTTGTCCCATCAGGTGTACGAGGCTGCTAGGCTGGCCAATGCTGACAGTTTTATCGGACAGTTCCCTGATGGCTACAGTACCATTCTGGGGGAGAGGGGAGTTACCGTGTCTGGGGGTCAGAAGCAGAGAATAGCTATCGCCCGCGCTCTACTGAAAGACCCATCTATCCTCATACTAGACGAGGCTACCAGGTCAGTTGCAAGGGAAAAACTTGATTACATATAATCGCAAGAGGAATGTAAGGCTGTAAAAGACCTTCGATTTTTGTTTGGTGCTATATTTGTAATTAATTAATATCAGGGGTCTGCAGGCCAGACTTTTTTACTTTGGGTCGGGTTAAAACATTGACCCTGAGGTCTTAAGCCAAAATTGGGTTGCATTAAAAAGTATTATTTCCCTACAGTTACCTAACAATGTACATGTTCTCTCATTGATTTGAGAAAGCAAAGTGGCCGATTCACTCATCTGTGAGACAATGTTAACATTGTCTCACTCTAATTACTTTGTCTCACTCCAGATTTGCAACGTGAAGGCACAAAATAGTGAGCGCGTAACATGCAGACAAGGTTGTATGCGCGCGAAATACGTTGGCAGCACTGGCTGTAAATCAGCTGGTCAGGTGTTGTACTGTAATGCTACTTTCACATTAAATGTCATATTAAAAGTTCACTTCTGTGTAAAAATATGTTACGTTACCAATTTATTTGTTTTATGGTAACTGTAGGAGAAATATAATGTGCAACTCGAGTGCAAAGTGCAATTGCCTCACTCGAGAAACCATTCCTCACTCGCCTATGGCTCGTGAGTAAGGATTTTTCTCGAGTGAGGCAATTGCTCACTAGTTGCACAAATAACTATTTTTTCAATACTACCTGAAATGCTACAATCGGTTTATACATAACTTGATCTTCGCCATTCTCTGGTTAAATTGTCTTCTGTCAGGGACCCGTAGACACTGTCCTACCTAAAGGAGGACAGTATGGCAAAGGCCTACTTATTTTGCTACTCCCCTCCACCTGGAGATTCTACTCTAGCCATACTCTTCTTTTCTCAGGTCTTTTTCTTTATTGTATATGTGAGTTGATTGAAAATTAATGTTAATCGAGAAAGATAGGGTTAACTTATCTGGTTTAATCCGACACAAGAAATACAAACAACTTAACCTTTTCGTAAACATTAGAATAATATTACTAACAGCATTTTCAACCAAGTTTTAATTGGAAGAGTGATGTCATTAGACCTCAGGACAAAGCGCTTAAATGCATGGAGTACACCAGATACAACGACAACTCTAGGTTATATTTTAATTAAGATGCTGATTAGTAATTGTGAAGTTCTGAAGTTGTTTTAAAGGGATATAGTTTTAGTTTTGCTAGCTTACCTGAGATAATTAGAGTCCAGGGGCTAATAGGTATACAAGGTCACAGAGAAAACACTTTTATTTTGTCAACATTGTATCTCCTCAGAGAGTAGGTTGAGGAGTGAGTGAACCAGTTCCTTTAGAATGGTTTTAACTTGTATTGCAATTAACCTACAAGATGGTCTGCTTGTTGACAGTGCCCTGGACACGGAGTCAGAGAAGGTGGTTCAGCAAGCTCTAGAAGTGGTCAGTCGCAACCGTACTGTGCTGGTAATCGCACACAGACTCAGCACGATAGAGCACGCAGACATCATAGTTGTGCTGAGTGGTGGAGTCATCGTGGAGGTTTGTAACATGTGTTTTCATTGTTGAGCATAAAAGTTGACTTTCACAAGATGTATTTAAACACCTACTTTTATGGATGGATGTAATCAGACCCTCAAATCGTAAACATTTAAAGACAATTTTCTCAGAACACAAGAGCAACAAGAATGAAGATGTTAAATGCCTTATTGCTTTTTAATGTTCTTGTCTCCATCAATGGTAAACGTTGTATGCAACTATAACAGCCCCTGGTAATGTTTAAGGACTTCTTTTTATGTCAAGGTAAGCTTCCGCAGCTCAGTCTATAGTCCAGATTTTAACTAACAAAATGTTGCCGACTAGTTTTGTTGCAAGGGCTACATTGCCAAAGCTTGCATTATGTCTAAACATCACAATATATAATTGCATAACAATATAAAAAAAAACAATATATTAGGTACACAAAACAAACAAGTATATCGTACTGAACTATCCTAGTACATTCTGGATAGACTTTCTTAAAGTGACAATACAGCATTATATGTACAATACAGGGCACATAAAATAATAGCCTACAGCTGCTGAAACAGCTGGTCTTAGTCAGTAACAAAGCTAAAAGCTACACAAAGCTCTACACTCATTTTCACTCCTTCGAACCTGGGTGGGGTCCCCCTCTCAATTGGTAACAATATACTTATTACATAGATTAATAAGATATTCATATTTCAGATTGGCAACCATCAGGAGTTGATAAAGAAGAGAGGTCATTATTGGAATCTCATGAACCAACAGCAGTCAGAGGGTAGAGGTCCAGCGTAGAAGTTTGCCTGAAAGAGTTGTGACGCGTTTTCTAATTTATAAAGGTGAAATAGAGAAGAGACGTATGTGAGAATGCAATGCTATGTTTTACTGATCTCTTCGCACACACAGATATTTTTAAATGGCGGCGGAAAAGAATATGGTGACAGCTTATAAAATGTGCCAACTACAGTGTGTTGTTTTTAAAAACAATAACAAGTTTCAATACAAAAATATCGGGTTTAACAAATTTTGCTTTAGTTTTTAATTGTGGTTTTATTAATATAATAAAAGAGTTTAACCCTCTAAAGGTAGGGAAAGTATGCTTCACATTTAGTTAGGGGTCTATGGGCTAGAATTTTTTACTTCTGGTCGGGTTGTGTCTACAATTTTGGGTCCAAGGCCCAAATTGGATTGCTTTTGTAAATTATTGATTTTTTAAAATATGAAAAACAATACTACAACTCATTTATACAATATTGTAACCAACTGTTAGGGCAACCCAACTTTGTAATATAGGGGAGTAAAATACCCTTTACATATAGGAAATGGGTAATTGAATATTTATAAGAAACCAAATTCTTTAAATAAAGCCGAGTAGACGATTTGTAGAGTTTATGATCAAAAAGATAATTAGATAAGTTTTGTACATTCAAACAAAATAATGTAATTGTTACTGCCTCTCTATTACTGTTATTGATTTTCAATTAAATTATCGTTACTCAAAATGTATGTATTGTTTAAACCTAACTTCTTCATCATAAAAGATACATACTCCAGGTAAAAAATTAAACATCCTGAAAATATACATTTTAATCAGTCTTACACATGGAATGATACTTTGGTTATTTTGGTATAAAACATAGAAAGGTTTGTAATACTGACTAGAACAAAATACACCAATGTCTGGGCTGCCATGTAAAGCAGTTTGGGTGCAAACACAGTTTTTTTTTAAAGAGGTTGGCGGCCTCTTTTAACCTTGCATTTGCCCGTCCACATAGACTAAGCGCCCATGCGTGGATCGTTTACAGCAAAGCAAAGAGTGATCCGGTACAGTACAAAGGTGAACTGTACTGATAAATTTTAGTGGCAGTGACCAGGATCCGAACCCACGACATCGCTGCCTTGGGCCCGAAGTCCGCGACGCTACCGACTGAGCCACCGACTCACTAAAACTGTCACTGTCACTGTCCAGACAAAGAGACGATACGAGTATCTATGTAGAGTGGTGGTGATGACTACGAGGCAGACAAACACATGTAGTAGTTGTAAAAACACCATCACTGCAACCCTGGTGTTCAGTTGAGTCTCCCAGTATCTGTAACAATAACCACCGTAATGATGGTCACTTCTGGAGTATCTGGTTTAACAAAGAACTGCAAGGGTATAGGCTATGTTAATACAGTAAAAGTAGCACAAATCACACAAGGTGAATTTTGAGTTTGAAATATGTTCACTAAAAATGTTATGTTATCACAACAGCTTTCCATTTCTTGACATTATCTGTCACATATATGTTTTGTATTTTACTGTTAACTGGTTTGGGCCTACTCTATGCCGTATTATATTGTATGCTATTGTATTGGCACCACTGTCATTTCCGCCCTCATGAAACTCAAATACACACACGTTGGTTGTCAAGATGTCTGACTGTGTCTAATTTAAAGTAGACCTTGGTTTTGCAACATTGCGCAAGTCGGTATAGATAAATTTAAATTAATGTAATGAATGAAGTGTGCGAAAATGGAGGCAGTAGTGAAGCCACCATATAATACACAGACAACAAAGATGGCGGGTTGTCATGTACGCCCCATGTTAACTCTCGTCAACCCGCCACCTCGTATTTAAGCGACAACGTGCCACCGCGTCAACCCGCCATCACTATTTTATGAGGTGGCGGGTTGTCGTGTATGCTCTATTTTCGGTGTCGTCAACCCGCCACCACACTAAAGAGGTGGCTGGTTGACGTGTATAAACACCTCTAAGCACCACCAGGACAACGTGCCACCCCGACAACCCGCCACCACACAATTTTCCGGGGTGGCGGGTTGTCGTGCACACTAGAGTCAACGTGCCACCCCGACAACGAGCCACCACGTCAACCCGCCACCTCAAACTTCTTCTTTTTGATGGTGGGTTGACGTGCGTGATGGCTGGTTCGCTGGTTGACGGTTGACGTGGTGGCGCGTTCCCCCACAGTCCATATTACAACTATCAGCAAAGATATTTTTGATATTACCGTAGATAAAACATTTACTTCTTTGCGACACTCACAAATTACCGTGGGGTGTCATAGCTTATAATGTCATAGCTTATAATCGTGAATTTGTTCCATAGCTTATAATGTTGAAAATGTGGCATAGCTTATAATCAGTTATAAGCTATGCCACACTTTCACGAAAAATTATAAGCTATGCCACAATTTCTCTAAAACGTTATAAGGTATGACACATTTTCTGTTTCACAACTTATAATGGTCAAATAGTGGCGCAGCTTATAATTCCGATTCTGTTCTATAGCTTATAATCCTGATTTTGAGTCATACCTTATAATCCTGATTTTGGGGCATAGCTTATAATTGAAGAGAATGTTGCATTGTGGGAATGGCATCAGCTGCTCGCTTCAGTCAGGTCTACCATATATACGATATTTTATGGTAGGATACGATAATTATTGTAATTGACCGTACTGACAACTGCGATATCGTAATTTATAACCTAAACATTTATTTATTTAAATGTTTTAAACGATTTTTATACGAGAAATGGCAACAATTACATGCTCTATGACAATGAAAATGCAAGTAATATTTATAGTGAGAAGTTAAAAGATATGAAAATGAAGTGAAGGATAACGGCATTGAAAATTAATAAATCTTGTCAATACTCAATAGTCCGGCTGGTGTTGACAGAAGATAAAGAAGAGGAACAATAATTAAATTGTAGAATCATCAAAAAATTCCAAAACTAATTGAGGTGTTGAAATCCAGTAAGTTGTGTTTTAATCCAATCCTGTTCCTAGGCCTTGTGACAAAAAGTAACAAAATGCAGTAGGCTATTATTTGCTTGAGTGTTATTAGGTTAAGTTAGTAGGTACAGTTGCCTAGCCTACTTAAGCTTAAGGTAGCTGTGACTCAAGTTACAGATTTCCTGTGACAGGCCTAAACAATTAACTTAATAAAAATATCAGTGAATGTATTCAACGGCTGCACTTTATTTGGCTGCACTTTACTTGACGTCCTACACTCATTCACGATTGTTTTTTCTATTCGATATTTTCGTTCGATTGTTTCATTCGATATATCGATCAATATTTTCATTCGAATGAGTGTAGGACGTCAAGTAAAGTGCAGCCCTTTATTTTACGTCCTACACTCATTCGAATGAAAATATCTATTATTAGATTGTTTTATTCGATATATCGTTTGGTTAGTTAGGTTAGGTTAACCTTACCTAACTAACCAAATGATATAACTTATCTATAATAATCGATACCGGTATATCGATCGATATTTTCATTCGAATGAGTGTAGGACGTAAAGTAAAGTGCAGCCCTTAAGTTTACGTCCTACACTCATTTGAATGAGTATTAAGTATTCGAGTAGGCCTATATTCGATATAAGTAGGCTATCCATCAGGGATTTGAAATGCACTGTGTGAGGTTCTTTTTTGAACAAATCAAAATTAAAATCTCCACATAAAAATATACTGTAGCCTACTTAGAATATTTTTTAACAATATGAGAAAGCAAAGAATTTAGAATATTAAAGAATTTCTTTAAAGTTGTTGTATCATTGTGTGGTGGTCTGTATATACACACTACCAAGACAGGTTTAGCTAGTGAGGTTTCAACTGCACAACACTCCAAAACAGATTGTATGGAAAATTTGCAAATGTCATGTTTTTCTATGGCTTCAATTGTGCTGTAGCTGTAAGACAGTATGCAGACTCCACCTCTTGTTTGATTTTCTCTAATAAATTTAGAAGAAAGTTTGTAGTTTGCTAAGTTTTCCAGCATTATGATTTTTTAACCAGTGCTCAGAAATACAAACAAATATCGGTTTGATTTTCATTGATTGAAATAGTAAATATAACTCATCGATTTTAACCTCAGTATTCAAACCCTGCATGTTACAATTGAAAATACTTAAGACTTTAGGGATGGATCTAAAAAACTACTTTTCTGAATCACTGCGCCAGAACATTTGCCTTGATATTATCATTATTCTAAGAAATAAATAAATGTTCAATTATTTATGATAAAATTTACGTAATTTTATTAAAATGTTTGTATTATAATCGTCATTGCAAACACATTGTTCCCATAACACAGTACTATTCCAAACAAAGGTTACAAGAGTATAATTGCCAATGGTGAAATTAATTGGAAAATGTAATACACTTGGAAGGGCTGCAGGTTCGATTCTGACTTGCGATTGTAGTTAGTGGGAGTGTATTCCAGTATAGACGTATCCGCCATAACACTCTTTAGCTATAAATAATAAATAATCTTTCATACCTTTGACTTGAGTTACGTACAGTTATACTGTGTAACAAATTGGACAACAAGATCTACACTTAAATTTTAATGTCATGTCTTGGATTTTGTGAGTGTTGGATCGTCTCAAACATGAAAATTTCACACCTTAATGTCACTGTCGCGGCTATATTGTAACCGCGCCAATCACTTCTTCTACCGAGAACAACATCTTTAACACATTTAATCAACATATTTTCATTTAAATATGTTTTTAGAAATCCGTTTTTTTCTTTACACTTTTACTTAGTACTGAATCACTTGATCAATACAAATACAATCTTAAATGAACTTATTACTTATTCCTTATTACATTATGACTATTTTGGTAACTAAGTGCCTTCTTGTGTCAAGTTTTGCTAATGACGTAGAGTTCAGTATGGATTTTAGAATTTTAGTACTGTTTATAAATACTTGGATATATCATTTTTGAAATTACAGAAATTACATCAATGATGGACAAAACTATTGTCAAACGTATTTTTCCGATCTTTGGGAAGAATTTTTTCTTTTTGGTTTCTTTTTTTGGAATTTTGGTTTCTTTTTTTTATGTTGTTTTGTAATAGTACCGAGATGCTAAATCCAAATTTTCGACCTCGGCGACCTTCCGGATCACCTCCAAAAAGCTTAAAAATCGATGGAATTTCGCACTATTTTTACGTTTGTCCAATTTTGACCCTGAAGCATCACTTTTTTATAAAGAACAACCATTACCTTTTTTAAAGTATATTAAATTACCTACCAAATAAGACCAAAATGGTTATTACAGGCCTAATAGTTTTCAAGATATGACTCCGCAAACAACGGCTAAAATTACAAGACTTTGAATTTTTTTTAAGTTTGGCTAACGTTAACCCTAAAGCATGACTTAATCGTTATTTTTCATTAAAACAACCATAATTACTTTGAAACTGCATTTAAATACTCACAATTTAAGACCAAAATGGTGATTATAGGCCTAACACATTGAGAGATATGCCTCTTCAAGGTTCATAAAATCTTCCATAAATGTTTGTATTTTAAGAATCAAGTTATTCAATTTGGTCAAATTTTATAAAAGAGTCATAATAAGAATATAAACAAATTTATTTCATTTCAACAACATATTATAAGTTGTTTTATGGAATAAATCTATTGTACTTAAAATGTTTATACTATCAAGAGGAATTTATATAAAAAATGAA